CTACCCTACCCTGCTCTAGTGGCCCTGGCTGTACCCTACCCTGCCATGCTGGCCCTGGCTCTACCCTGCCCTGCTGGCCCTGGCTCTACCCTGCACTGCTGGCCCTAGCTGTACCCTACGCTGCCCTGCTGGCCCTAGCTGTACCCTACCCTACCCTACCCTGCTAGCCCTGGCTGTACCCTACCCTACCCTGCTCTACTGGCCCTAGCTGTACCCTACGCCGCCCTGCTGGCCCTGGCTATACCCTACCCCACCCTGCTCGCCCTGGCTGTAACTACCCTGCCCTGCTGGCCCTGGCTCTACCCTGCACTGCTGGCCCTAGCTGTACCCTACCCTACCCTGCTCTACTGGCCCTAGCTGTACCCTACGCTGCCCTGCTGGCCCTGGCTATACCCTACGCTGCCCTGCTGGCCCTAGCTGTACCCTACCCTACCCTACCCTGCTAGCCCTGGCTGTACCCTACCCTACCTTTCTCGCCCTGGCTATACCCCCCTACCCTACCCTGCTCTAGTGGCCCTGGCTGTACCCTAACCTGCCCTGCTCGCCCCCGGCTGTACCCTACCCTGCCCTGCTCGCCCCCGGCTGTACCCTACCCTGCCCTGCTGGCCCTAGCTGTACCCTACCCTACCCTGCTCTACTGGCCCTAGCTGTACCCTACGCTGCTCTACTGGCCCTAGCTGTACCCTACCCTGCCCTGCTGGCCCTGGCTCTACCCTGCCCAGCTGGCCCTGGCTGTACCCTACCCTGCCCTGCTCGCCCTGGCTGTACCCTACCCTACCTTTCTCGCCCTGGCTATACCCCCCTACCCTACCCTGCTCTAGTGGCCCTGGCTGTACCCTAACCTGCCCTGCCCGCACCCGGCTGTACCCTACCCTACCCTACCCTGCTAGCCCTGGCTGTACCCTACCCTGCCCTGCTGGCCCTGGCTCTACCCTGCCCAGCTGGCCCTGGCTGTACCCTACCCTGCCCTGCTCGCCCTGGCTGTACCCTACCCTGCCCTGCTTTAGTGGCCCTGGCTGTACCCTAACCTGCCCTGCTCGCCCCCGGCTGTACCCTACCCTGCCCTGCTCGCCCACGGCTGTACCCTACCCTGCCCTGCTCGCCCCCGGCTGTACCCTACCCTGCCCTGCTGGCCCTAGCTGTACCCTACCCTACCCTACCCTGCTAGCCCCGGCTGTACCCTACCCTGCCCTGCTCGCCCCCGGCTGTACCTTACCCTGCCCTGCTCGCCCTGGCTGTACCCTACCCTTCCCTGCTCGCCCTGGCTGTACCCTACCCTGCCCTGCTGGCCCTGGCTCTACCCTGCCCAGCTGGCCCTGGCTGTACCCTAACCTGCCCGCTCCCGGCTGTACCCTACCCTGCCCTGCTCGCCCCCGGCTGTACCCTACCCTGCCCTGCTGGCCCTAGCTGTACCCTACCCTACCCTACCCTGCTAGCCCTGGCTATACCCTACCCTACCCTGATAGCCCTGGCTGTACCCTACCCTACCCTGCTAGCCCTGGCTATACCCTATCCCACCCTGCTCGCCCTGGCTGTACCCTACTCTGCCCTGCTGGCCCTGGCTCTACCCTGCCCTGCTGGCCCTGGCTCTACCCTGCACTGCTGGCCCCAGCTGTACCCTACCCTACCCTGCTCTACTGGCCCTAGCTGTACCCTACGCTGCCCTGCTGGCCCTGGCTATACCCTACGCTGCCCTGCTGGCCCTGGCTATACCCTACGCTGCCCTGCTGGCCCTGGCTATACCCTACGCTGCCCTGCTGGCCCTAGCTGTACCCTACCCTACCCTACCCTGCTAGCCCTGGCTGTACCCTACCCTACCTTTCTCGCCCTGGCTATACCCCCCTACCCTACCCTGCTCTAGTGGCCCTGGCTGTACCCTAACCTGCCCTGCTCGCCCCCGGCTGTACCCTACCCTACCCTGCTCTAGTGGCCCTGGCTGTACCCTACCCTACCCTACCCTGCTCTAGTGGCCCTGGCTGTACCCTACCCTGCCATGCTGGCCCTAGCTGTACCCTACCCTACCCTGCTAGCCCTGGCTGTACCCTACCCTACCTTTCTCGCCCTGGCTATACCCTACCCCACCCTGCTCGCCCTGGCTGTACCCTACCCTGCCCTGCTGGCCCAGGCTATACCCTACCCTGTACTGCTGGCCCTGGCTGTACCCAACCCTACCCTGCTCTAGTGGCCCTGGCTGTACCCTACCCTACCTTTCTCGCCCTGGCTGTACCCTACCCTGCCCTGCTGGCCCAGGCTATACCCTACCCTGCACTGCTGGCCCTGGCTGTACCCAACTCTACCCTGCTCGCTCCCGGCTGTACCCTACCCTGCCCTGCTCGCCCCCGGCTGTACCCTACCCTGCCCTGCTGGCCCTAGCTGTACTCTACCCTACCCTACCCTGCTAGCCCTGGCTGTATCCTACCCTGCCCTGCTCGCCCTGGCTGTACCCTACCCTACCCTGCTCTAGTGGCCCTGGCTGTACCCTAACCTGCCCTGCTCGCCCCCGGCTGTACCCTACCCTACCCTGCTCTAGTGGCCCTGGCTGTACCCTACCCTACCCTACCCTGCTCTAGTGGCCCTGGCTGTACCCTACCCTGCCATGCTGGCCCTAGCTGTACCCTACCCTACCCTGCTAGCCCTGGCTGTACCCTACCCTACCTTTCTCGCCCTGGCTATACCCTACCCTGCCCTGCTGGCCCAGGCTATACCCTACCCTGCTCTACTGGCCCTAGCTGTACCCTAACCTGCCCTGCTCGCCCCCGGCTGTACCCTACCCTGCCCTGCTCGCCCCCGGCTGTACCCTACCCTGCCCTGGTTCCCGGCTGTACCCTACGCCCCCTGCTGGCCCTGGCTGTACCCTACACTACCTTTCTCGCCCAGGCTATACCCTACCCTAACCTGCTGGCCCAGGCTATACCCTACCCTGCACTGCTGGCCCTGGCTGTACCCTACCCTACCCTACCCTGCCCTGCTCGCCCCCGGCTGTACCCTACCCTGCCCTGCTGGCCCTAGCTGTACCCTACCCTACCCTGCTCTACTGGCCCTAGCTGTACCCTACGCTGCCCTGCTGGCCCTTGATGTACCCTACCCTACCCTGCTCTACTGGCCCTAGCTGTACCCTACGCTGCTCTGCTGGCCCTGGCTAACCCCCCTACGCTGCTCTGCTGGCCCTCGCTATACCCTACCCCACCCTGCTCGCCCTGGCTGTACCCTACCCTGCCCTGCTGGCCCTGGCTCTACCCTGCCCTGCTGGCCCTGGCTGTACCCTACCCTGCCCGCCCCCGGCTGTACCCTACCCTGCCTTGCTCCCCCTGGCTGTACCCTACCCTACCCTGCTCTAGTGGCCCTGGCTGTACCCTACCCCACCCTGCTCACCCTGGCTGTACCCTACCCTGCCCTGCTCGCCCTGGCTGTACCCTACCCTACCCTGCTCTAGTGGCCCTGGCTGTACCCTAACCTGCCCTGCTCGCCCCCGGCTGTACCCTACCCTGCCCTGCTCGCCCCCGGCTGTACCCTACCCTGCTGCCCCTTACCCTGCCCTGGTTCCCGGCTGTACCCTACGCCCCCTGCTGGCCCTGGCTGTACCCTAACCTGTCCTGCTCGCCCTATACTGGCCCTTTCAGTACCCTACGCTGCCCTGCTCGCCCCTGACTGTACCCTACCCTGCCCTGCTGGCCCTGGCTGTACCCTACCCTACCCTGCTCTAGTGGCCCTGGCTGTACCCTAACCTGCCCTGCTCGCCCCCGGCTGTACCCTACCCTGCCCTGCTCGCCCCCGGCTGTACCCTACCCTGCTGCCCCTTACCCTGCCCTGGTTCCCGGCTGTACCCTACGCCCCCTGCTGGCCCTGGCTGTACCCTAACCTGTCCTGCTCGCCCTATACTGGCCCTTTCAGTACCCTACGCTGCCCTGCTCGCCCCTGACTGTACCCTACCCTGCCCTGCTGGCCCTGGCTGTACTCTACCCTACCCTACCCTGCTCTAGTGGCCCTGGCTGTACCCTACCCTGCCCTGCTGGCCCTAGCTGTACCCTACCCTACCCTGCTAGCCCTTGCTGTACCCTACCCTACCCTGCTCTAGTGGCCCTGGCTGTACCCTACCCTGCCCTGCTGGCCCTAGCTGTACCCTACCCTACCCTGCTAGCCCTTGCTGTACCCTACCCTACCTTTCTCGCCCTGGCTATACCCTACCCTGCCCTGCTGGCCCTGGCTGTACCCTAACCTTTCCTGCTCGCCCTATACTGGCCCTGGCAGTACCCTACCCTGCCTTGCTCGCCCTCGGCTGTATCCTACCCTGCCCTGCTCTACTGGCCCTAGCTGTACCCTACGCTGCCCTGCTGGCCCTGGCTATACCCTACGCTGCCCTCCTGGCCCTGGCTAAACCCTACCCTGCCCTGCTGGCCCTGGCTGTACCCTAACCTGTCCTGCTCGCCCTATACTGGCCCTGGCAGTACCCTACATTGCCTTGCTCGCCCTCGGCTGTACCCTACCCTGCCCTGCTGGCCCTGGCTGTATCCTACCCTGCCCTGCTGGCCCTGGCTGTATCCTACCCTGCCCTGCTGGCCCTGGCTGTACCCTACCCTGCCCTGCTGGCCCTGGCTGTACCTTACCCTACCCTGCTAGCCCTTGCTGTACCCTACCCTACCTTTCTCGCCCTGGCTATACCCTACCCTGCACTGCTGGCCCTGGCAGTACCCTACCCTACCCTGCTCTAGTGGCCCTGGCTGTACCCTAACCTGCCCTGCTCGCTCCCGGCACCCTGCTGGCCCTGGCTGTACCCTGCCCTGCTGGCCCTGGCTGTACCCTAACGTGCCCTGGTCGCCCTATACTGGCCCTGGCAGTACCCTACGCTGCCCTGCTCGCCCCCAGCTGTACCCTACACTGCCTTACTGGCCCTAGCTGTACCCTATCTTGCGCTACTCGCTCCATCTGCACCTAAAGCTGCTCTACCTAGTACTTCCTTTATCCCCCACTGCCCTCTTTAGTAATTATTTCTACTGACATACCGCTTTATACTTGATCTGGTTTTCAGGTTACTCCAGCGGTGATCTTGTTTTACTCCAGGCCAGGAATGGTCTACACATTGCTGTAAGGTAGACCCAATCCAAGGTTGCGCCGCTGATGCTTTTCCCTCTTCACCTCTTCATTGAAGTTGTTTATTTGGCACATCATGATTGTTCCCATCCTTATGTTGTAATGAATTTTCTGTCAAATAAAACTTTTAAGTTAGATTGATCTTTTGCTATCCTTGACACACATTTACTTTTCATATGAAAATAAACAAATGTTCATTTAAATAAATTTGAAAAAATTAAACATAAAATTGACCCTACACTACCACCACATCACAATCTTATTACCCTTGCTGTAGACTAAGCAAATTAAAATTTCCATTAAATATTTTCTTAAAATTCTCAGATTTATTACGTATTTTATAATACATAGTTTAATGAATACATAGGTTAACTTCTACAGGCAAGGTAATAAGGTGTGTTACTTAATGAAATATTATTCGCTCCAAGGATGAAATAAATTTGCCTAATTTTGTTAATATACATCCTGCAACCTAGGAAACATACAATAATTTACTGCATGTCCATAAGGGAAATTTAGATATTTAAAATTATATGCAGTTTTAGAACTTTTCTACGTAATCGTTTGACGTAAAACATATTATTTTTTCCAGCTCTAAGAAACGGTATTGAATCAAATTGCATAGATTTCTGCTTTGAGGGTCAAAAATAAAAAGCTCCATTTTACTCCATACAACCCTGCAAATCCCCTTTACTAACAACGTCTGGTTCAAATAGCCTAAAAGTAAGTTTACATATTTGTAACAAATTTCATCAAAACCAGCTCATTATCCTGCTATCGGACATGCTCTATATTATAAATACCCCCGCCACAGCAAACCTGCAGACTAAGCAAATTTCAACTTGTCTGATTACATATTTACTAAAATACTTCCGTAAATAAGACATATTTATTCCCAATTTAAATAACATTAGATATAACGAGTGCTTAGGTTTGCTGCAACGGGGAAGGTAAACAGTGTTTTTTGACCAAACAACAATAGTATAGGATGATATAAATAAGTTTGCCAAATGATCAACATATATCCATAAACAAGTAAACTACAACAGTTTTCATTTTCTCCATAAGAATAACATGGGAATTTTAAATTTGCATTTTTTTTAATTTTCTCTGTGACCGTTAGGCATACAACAATGCTTCAATATACTAAATTATTTATTTTTTTAAGCTCTACAAAATGGTTGGGAAATAAATTCTAAAATTTTATGTTTTTAGGGTCAAAAATGGGAAAAACCCATTTTTACCCCATAAAACCCCCCATAAACCCCTGTTCCCATGGTCCGATTATGCTGGATCGCGAACTCGTTTGAATAAATGTAGGTTTGCTCTATTTGACGAGTTTTGCACTCAGACCTTCACTTTCACCCGACGATTGCTATTTTATATGGGTGAAAGTGAATGTCTTAGTGCAAAATTCCTCTAATAGAGCGATCAGACATGCCAAGAGCAGCAGCTTGTCCACGCGCCGGGCGATGCGGGCTCGTTAGCACAGCTCGTCGTGCTCGCTCCACGTTCTCCGGCGTTCTCACTGACCTTGGACGGCATGTAGGCCTACGTTTTTCAGTTGATCCTGTGGATCTAAAGGCATCCACCCAAAATTTGATGGTGTTTCGGGATAGGTTCCCCATGAGCCACCTTAAAATGCCTACGAAACTTATGTTGCGTATCAACAAATCAAATCAAATCAAAAATCACTTTATTCACATATATAAATACAGGAATACATTATCAGGGTAAGAATAGTATTCCCCCGAATGGACTGCAAGTCCGTGCTCGAGGGAAGAGCTCTTACCAGCAGGAAATAAGTTTTGGTTATTGTCCATAGGTAAAAAAAAATGTGCACACTGTTTATAAATAATGTGTACATCTGTACTTAATACGTATCAGGAGCTTTTAATAAATGTATATATATGCTATATAAATATATTGTATACTAGAATTAATTAACAATAAACAGCCTTAAGCAACGATAAAAATATTAATCTATGAAGAAAAATTTATTTTGATAGCTATTATGGCGGCGTTTGATGTCAGAGATTAATTTAAATGTAAGGCGAGCGAATTAAAGCCTCTGCAGCCTCTCTTCCCACAGTCATCAGCCACTCACAGACCTTGCTTTTATACACAGCGACACTGCCTGATTCAGCATCAGTTATGTTGGGCGGCAAGTTGCGATAAAGGATGTGAGCTATGTAAAACACGTTATTTTTCAAGGAACTATATGCTAGTTGTGGAGTGCGGTATCCAAAGTTATGCCTGTGTCTAGTGTGATAACTGTGTTGTAAGTTAGAAAAAATAATTTCCTTGTTGTTCTTAATGAAAAGTAATAGTGTTTTGATAAACAATTGTCTAATATTTAAAACTGGGAATTCGGAAAAAAGTAAACTTGTTGAATAATGTTTTGGCCTTTTAAGAATAATTTTGATTAAGGTTTTCTGGGTTACGTGAAGAGGAGCCAATGTGGCAGCAGATACACCGCCCCACGCCAGTATGCCATACTGCAGCACAGACTGCACGTATGCATAGTAAACGTATCTGCAGTGATCAACCGTTAACACACGGCTTAGTTGATAAAAGGCGTAGACCAGTTTCCTCAATCTTTGCTTTACATAGATAATATGAGGAGACCATGTCATCCTTTGATCAATGATCACCCCAAGGTACTTGTATTGGTCCACACGATCGACTGTGTCACATCCGCAGGTATTAGACCATAGATCGCCACATGAATGAAGATAGAGTTTTCTAGGGCCAGGGTCACGAGTTCGAGATAAGAAAACTGGCATGCACTTGGTTTTTGATACATTCAATGTCAATGTGTTATGATCCAGCCAATTTTTTATTTTAAGTAAGTCAGATGCAGCTTGATGGTAGACATCATCCCACGTATTACCCGAGGACACTACCGCTGTGTCGTCAGCAAAAAGAAACAATTTACCATTGACTCTTAATTTAGTAATGTTATTGATATATATTAAAAAGAGAAGAGGGCCTAGGTTACTTCCTTGGACGACACCATAGTCAATGTTAGTGATATCACTATTTTCGCCATTGATAGTAACGAACTGTGATCGACCAGTCAAATAGCTGCGGAACAACAGAGTAGCCACTTTTAAAATACGCCTCAACGACAAACGCGCGATGTATACCGGTCCACTGCTCCATGGCGACTGAAGTGGGGTCAATTGGCCTTGAGAATGAGCCGCTAACCACCACCCCCCTCCACTCGGCTGCCGTACTGTACTCGATTGAAAACCGTCAGATATTTCTGCCGCTCCCTGTGTGTATATATATATATATATATATATATATATATATATATGAATTTGAACGGATGGTGTTTTTGGCCTCTAGGGACCTCAAAACAACAAAAAAATCGGTTCCAGCGTCCAGGTCTTACCATGAGTACTACGGTAATAGCTTATTCCCTATCTAACAAAAAACCACTAAGTGGTAACACTTTCCCCGCCAAGTCAGCAATCCAAAAAAGATAATAAATCATTACTTTTTCCGCCAAGAAAAACAATGTAATGTATGTAAGTTTGGCAACTTGGCGGCAGACTTTTGCTCGATCACTTTAAAAATACCATAAAACTAGTTTCATTGAGCAAGTATCTCTCCCATTAGTACATTGCTAGGTGAGAGCTTATTTTACAAAACTTGACCTTATTTGTGCCACATTTCATAAAATCATAATAGTGATGGTTTTATATTTACTGATTACCTCGAAATTATTATACTTAGTTGGACTAATTAATTAGAGAAGTTGATTTGTGAAATTATCCACGAACGTAACTTAAATGAAAAAAAAAACAAGCAAAAGTCTGCCGCCAAGTTGCCAAACTTACATACATTACATTGTTTTTCTTGGCGGAAAAAGTAATGATTTATTATCTTTTTTGGATTGCTGACTTGGCGGGGAAAGTGTTACCACTTAGTGGTTTTTTGTTAGATTTTATTTATTTTTGTAGAAAATTAACCGTTCAAATAAAAATACTCTTTTCTCTGAAAAAAAAAATAAATTTTAATGCTAAAGTTGACTGAACTCTCGATCTTCCGGTAGTCTTTGCAGAGGGTACCGGTTTTGTACTCTCATCCTGCACTTTTTCGACATTTTTGGTCTGGCACCACTTCCTGTCTCTCACATAAGGAGCCGAAGAGGAGTCACAACTTGTGTTGTAAAGTGGAAGGTCAGACCTGTACTTCTGCCTTAGTCTGTTGTATTCGAGAATGGCGGATTTCTGAGGCTTCACATCTCTTGGGTTAAAGTTAATAAGATGAAGCCCTTCTAATGAAGTCACTCGTGACAAGGCAACATATGATTGGCCACATGTAAATATGGACTCCCCAATATCAATTATTACGCTATTTAAGCTGAGGCCCTGGCATTTGTGAATTGTAACCGCGTAGGACATCGATATCGGGAATTGCTCTCGATACACAAATGCGTTATCCATCACTTGAAACTTGACGTTTACTCGCTGTAGGTGATGGGTAATGCCACAATCAAAGTTAATTGTCACTGAGTCTACGTCATCAGAATTGTCTGTATTAAACCTCAACCCCGTTACTGTTCCAATGGCGGAGTTAACTAGCCCCACAGTGACGTCAATGTTTCTAAGCAACATAACTTTAGCACCAACCTTAATAGGAATAATTTTCTCCATACCAGCCGTTCTGCTGCAGTCAGAGTTGTAAGAGGACAGTATCTTTTTAACTTTGTTTTGTTGACGAGGTAGACAGTCAACTGAGTCTTTTGCAACCAAGTTAACGACAGGACCACTTATTCTATTGACCATTTCATCATTTATTATGGAGCATTGGTAACCAGTTGAACAAAGACACACAGAATTGTTGGGAAAAGCAGACAAGTAATCTCCTAATAGAGAAAGGTTTTCACAAGCAGTTTTTCCATTAAGATGTATTTTCTTGCTTTCAATTAGACGGATGTCCTCAACGGTCATATTGCCTACTCTGACTTTGCTTAACACATCAGCAAACTTAGAATCTTGAGCTTGTCGCATGTTTGTAGTAAGTTCATCATAAGAGAACTGTTCAGACCAGATGTTAACACAAGACAGAGAGCCAACAAAAGAACTAAGTTTGCTACTGTCAAGTTCAATGAATGGGGAGTCTTCGTGTACTGGTGGAAGTTGTAAAAGGTCTCCAAAGAGCAGTATATGTTTTTTACCAAACCAGCCGTTACTTTGGTCTGAGGTGTTGAATATTTCACACAATCTGAGATTTATGTACATCAATGTTAGATTGGAGACCATGGACACTTCGTCTATTATGAAGAGCACCACATCTTTCAGGTTGGATCTCAACATTTTTAAAACATCATCAGTAAGAGCTTTGTACTTTGGAGTTTTTCCATGCTCAACTGGCAGCTGAAACACTTTGTAGATCGTAGAACCATTGATGTTGTAAGCACTTAGTCCTGTGGGAGCTGATATTGATGTAGAGGCTTGAAGACATTTTTTAGTCCAAGAGCTATTAAAATGCAATTAAAACATAGCCATGGTATCTTACCAAATGGTCCTAAGAAATGTTCTCAATGTTCTTAAACTAGATCTCTTCACTACACATAAACAATGCTGCTCTTTTTGTAAACATGAAAAAGACAACAAACACGTTTTATTTACAGCTGTTAAAATTATTAATACAATGTTAAAAGACTTAGTTAAATAATTTAGCTAGTATCCTAGTATATAATTATATAGAAACATATGTATAAAATGTGATTGCATCTGGTGGCCTACTTAGCACCAATTTATAGTTGACTTAAAATTCGGGCAGATGAATATATTTTATTCTTTGTACTTTATATTTCATTGCTAAGATTTAATTATGATTTAAATGCTTATTGTTGTGAGTTCAATTGTAAATAAAGGTGTTGAAAGTAATAGCCCTCTGTTTTAACGTTTTTAAAGCTTTTACCAACTTAAATAGAATTCAACCTAATATTGAAGTGAATTCCAACATTACTGGCAATGCGTTGGTGTTACATAAGTGTTCTGATAATTAAACCCGTATATCTAAAGACTAGTGTAAATTGAGCCCTTGGGTGACTTTCTACAGCCAGTTTCAACGTCTAGAACTGTGTGCAAAACCTCCCATTTCCCCATTTTTATTTGTCATGAATAAGTAGACATTTTAATACTAACTATGACGATTGCATTCATAAAATCTCAAAACATATTGTAGGCTACGGCAATATTGTCCTAAAAGCTGTTTACTGACTTTCTAAAGCCATATTAATGTATATAATTGTGTCCAACTAACTAACTTTCAATTGCGTAATATTGTTTTATTTGCTGTGCTATTGTCCACAAAGTTGATCTATGTGGAACTTAATACTACTCCTGCTATCGCTTATTAAGTTTAATAAAATCTACATTGATGTGTGTTTAAGACATTGCGTGTTTTAAGGACGAAATGTACGTTTAAATTTATTTTTCCAGGGTCCAAGGAGGGGGGGCTTTAGCCCCTGTAGCCCCCCCCCCTTGGAACCGTCACGGGGGGGAATATCTCTTCTCTAAGTAATTTTATATAGTAAGTAGTTCAAATCATTCGGTATACCTGAAAAAAATACTTTATAAAAGTTTTAAAATAATCATCACCTGTTCCTATAAATTTCTCTAACATTTAAATTTATTGATATTTAATCGCAGCTGGTCCTTCTTTTTATTTTGATTTGTTTTGATTTTAATCCCATGTTATTTAAATGGGCCAAAATCGTACTTTGAGGGCTTGCCAAGGGTTTATGGGTCAACGTACCGACTTGAGACCCTCAAAAGGCACATCTACACGCTAAGGGCTTTCACACAACATAAAGAACATTAAAATTGAGCCAGTGGTTTGGGCTGTAGGTCCGTCAACATTTAAGGAGAAGAAGGAGAACACGGAAAATTTGTGAATTTTCAAACTAGTTTTTCTTTGCTCAAACACAACCGTTTTTTAAATTCTTTTTTTTATTTTGTTGAGAATGATTGCCCCTATCCAGTAGATGAACAATTATTTTAATAGCTTTTGTTTCTTCAGAGCTATAGACGAGTAAAAAAGCCACTTTGTCACGTCATGTATATATACACTGCAGCAGCTGTGTACCGCTGGGGGACTTGGCGGGGCGGAACGCTGCCGCGTTCCTTAATATGGGAAATTCGCTAAAAAATGAATTTGAAAGAATGTTTTTTTTTAAATCTGGGAACCTCGAAACAAAAAAGTCTGGTGTCTCCGTCTTACCATGAGACATACGGAATTGCTTATTCCTTAGAATGGGACGATAAGCCAAATTCTATAAACGAGGTAAAATATGAATGTTCAACAAAGTAAATAAGAGGTTAATTGACCTTGGACGTGTATGAATTTGATGGAATGGTGTTTTTTGTCTCTGACAAAATGGGAAATAGGTACTTGTACCCTAATATTCCATACATGGAAAATTCGCTAAAATTATATGTTTTTGAAGAAATTGGGTAGAAATGTGTAAACCCTATCATTCATTCTTAAAACGAGTTTGCTAACCAACATGGCCGGAATATGGCAACAGGGTTTTATGGGGTTAAGTGGGTTTTTTTTAATTTTTCACACTCAAAAGATTAAAATTCACAATTTCTTTACAAACTTTTGTCGAGTCCAGAAAAAAAATAATTATGTATATCTAAGCGTTTTATAAGCTTAATGAGGGAAGTCTGAAGAGGAAAATATTTAGTGAAAATCCAATGGGGCAAATGGAAATTTGCTTAGACTGCAGGATTGCTGTTGCAGGGGTTTTCTTTACCCTTAGAACAGTTCAGTACAACCAAAAGCTAAAAGGGGCATTTTAGAGCCCACCATTAAAAAATAAATAATACCTTGTTTAAGCTGTATTTACAATTTACAGTAAATAGTGAAAGTGAATAAACACACTACTGACAATCCAGTGGTATGTCTAGATGTAGCCCTATGATATGTATACATTATTTCAGTTCAATAGTAATCATATTGCTGTGACTTGACTACACAACAGTCACACATCAGCTGGTACAGTAAGTCTAGTAACTAAGTTATTAAGTAGCAAACATACCTATGGTGTGGATTCCATTGGCCATTGCAGACTTGATATAATGATGAGAGACTTGTCTTCAAACGCTAAAGTTGCGAGCCATCCACGCGATGAAGTTGGCCACCTTCTGTATCTTGACTGGGTCTCGCTTTCCCTGGGCAAATTGAATGTTATTTCCAAACATCTAATAATAATGAATAATTTATTTTATTGGTCATCTGGATACATAACCTATAATTGACAAACAACATTGTGGTTTAAATAAATGTTGAGGAAGTCGAATTACAAAATAATTGTAAGGACTCAGAATGAAGACTTTACAAAGATATTTATGTGAAAATATATAATTTCAAAGTCGTTATTTCTTATATTCAACTCAAATTTAAAAAATACCCCCGTCGCAGCAAACCTGCCGACTAAGCGAATTTCCATTTGTCTGAATTGATTTTAAATTAAATATCTAAATATATAAAAGGCAAAGCCCTCACTGACTCGCTCACTCATCACTAATTCTCCCACTTCCCATTTACCTAGGAGGCTGAAATTCGGTACACCGATTCTTTGGGCATTAAATAGGAAAACTAAGTAGTTTATATTCTGATCGGGCTTTCGGGCTCCGCCCCAGTGGCTCTGGAGTTCCCCATGTTAACCTTATGATTTTTCACATTTAAAACGAATTAATGAATCTTAACAGCTGTTTCAATTAAACAAGTTGGTTCTGTTCTATGATGTTCAATAACATTAAAGTTACAAGGATTACCAACAGGCTGCAGCACTATTATTTTTTTAAATTTATCACAACAACCAAAGATTACATATGCTGCAACTAATTTGCAACCAAAAGGTGAGTGAGCGTAGCGAACGAACTTCAATCTGGAGGCGAGTTAGCGTAGCGAACGAGCTAACCTGAAGGCAAGTGAGCGCAGCGAACGAGCTCTAACCTAAAGGTGAGTGAGCGTAGCGAACGAACTTCAAGGATTACCAACAGGCTGCAGCACTATTATTTTTTAAAATTTATCACAACAACCAAAGATTACATATGCTGCAACTAATTTGCAACCAAAAGGTGAGTGAGCGTAGCGAACGAACTTCAATCTGGAGGCGAGTTAGCGTAGCGAACGAGCTAACCTGAAGGCAAGTGAGCGCAGCGAACGAGCTCTAACCTAAAGGTGAGTGAGCGTAGAAAACGAACTTCAACCAGGACGTGATTGAGCCATGCGAATACTTATGAAGTTAAACGGGGCAAAGCCCACGGGTACAGCTAGTATTTAAATAACATTAGGTTTTATGAGTACCTAGGTTTGCTGCTACAAGGAAACTAATAATGTGTGTTTTTAGTTAGATATTGATAGCTTAGTATAAAATAAATAAATTTGCCAAGTTTGATCAAAATATATCCATAAACAAGCAAACTGCAACATTTTACAATATTCTCCATAAGAATAACATGGGAATTTTAAATTTACAACTTTTTTAAATTTTCTTCGTTACCAATTATTGAACAAAAATACTTTTATATACTAAATTATTTGTTTTTTTAAGCTCTTTAAAAAGGTCTAAAGAGAAATTGGGAAATTTTGTGTTTTGAGGGTCAAAAGTGAGAAAAATCAATTTTTACCCCATAAAACCCCCCGTAAAGCCCCGTTCCCATGGTCCGATCATGCTGGTTCGTGAACTCATTCAAGTTTATCCCGCTGTACACCTTTAAACCAAATTTCATCAAAATCTGACAAAAATTACTCAAGTTATCGCGTTCACGGACGTATATATATACATATATAAACATTTGAACGAAAGGTGTTTTTGGCCTCTGGGGACATCAATATGAAAAAGTATATCGATCCCGGGTCTAAGTCTTACCGTGCCACCTACAGTAATAGCTACTTCCCTATAGGGAAATTCGCTAATAATAAATTTCACCACACAAAGATGTTTTTAGCCGTTTTACAAAACGTTAATTGGAGGCTGGAAGCTGTCCAATGTGTCCTGTCCTGTGTGGAATTGCTGTCCAGGACCGAAATGGCAGCTATTGGGGACCGATTTGGTTTTTACGGCCCTAGGGTCACAAAACCAGTTGTTCGTTTACTTACTTAAAACATCAATGTATATAAAATAAAATATACAAGCAATATCCATATGCATTTTATGTCATCACTGCCTAGCAACTATTTATTAGTATATTTTTGCTGGTTCCTCTAGATTATTTCTTCACATAACCTTAAAGTTGCAGTTGTGTTAACTGTTTATATGCATTTATAGTGTGAAAATGACGACATTTTTGTACAGTGTGGTGAAAAATGGCGTTCGTACCACGGGCCGAAAGGATTTTGCAGCTCTTCACTTGGTCCCGAACTGCATACTATGAAGGGGGGCGGCACTAAGGATAATGCCTAGGGGGGAAATATTTATAAATCCGTCTCTGGTCGGGAAGCAGGGTATAAATTATGAAGGTGTATTTATTTATGCATAGGTAAGATAGGCATAAATGCCAAAATCAGACGACCATTTAGATAATGGATTTTGTGGTGTTTACTAATAAATACTGAGACAAAAATAATATGTTACTAACCTGTCCTCAATCAATCCCGATTTGTCGTGGATGTCTAGTTTCGGGGTTAGAATCCTATTTTCAAATCCTTTTCTCATCAACTGTCAAACATATTCTTCTTGCACTTGCCGTTGTCAAAGTTACTTCACATATAAACACACAAAGAAACATTTATATTTACAAAAATATACAAACACGCGGCCGGCCAAGGACAAAACCAGACATGTACAAATTTAAGGAACTCAAATCCGTTGTAAACAAAAAATACCCCAGTCAAACATGTCGAATAAGCAAATTTATATTTGCCTGATTTGATTTCCACTTAAATCTAGAGATAATTTCGGATTTGGTTTCCTTCAATTAGTAAACGTCAAAAAGGCGATTTATTAGGTTCTGGAATCACACCTGGAAACTTAATTTCAAATTTTTCTTGGCATAAAACAAATTATTCACTTTAGATTGGGGAAATGCTTGTTGTGTCTTATTTACAATAAATTCCCAATAACACCAAACCTCATTGATTGCAACAATGCATATTTATAGCTGATCAGCAATGTAGTAAAGTATACAGGAATATCAAAAAATAACGGGTGGCGTCGTCCTGTAATCCAGCTACTAGGAGGTCACGAATTGTGGATATTTATAGGGATGCACTGTGGATGCGATGCTCACTGGTGTGGATTAACGTCCGCACTAGTGAGTACTACGACTATCCGCAGTACTATCCTGATAATTAGACCAATTCGTAAATTACAAGGAAAAATGTGGTTCGGATTCCACTATAAACTGTAGGTCCCTTAGTTGCCATTAGCTGTATGAGCTATTAATTAACAGCTGTGTCTAAGGAACATGTTGGCCTTAGTCACTAACAAGACTACAAGATCGCGCCACTCATCCTACACTCATCCTTCACTCATATTTGGGTTAAAATACGCACATAGTGGCGTCCCCATCTTAAATAATTGATAATTGATAATTGATAACTTTGTTTTTGTCATTCAAATGTCTCAAAGTACATTTAATTTAGGTTGCACATTAAAAAAAAAAACACTCTTTATAAAGGTGTTGTGAAAATGAGAACCTAATTTTAATCCAAACCAATTGATTTTAAAATACATTAATTATTGCTATAGCGCTATGCGAAGCAAATTATTTTTCACTTGTGTTATATGTAGGCCTTTTACTAAATTCCAGGTAATGGTTACGCAACCTATATCAAGTCCAATTTGAATAAATTCAGTTATGATCACTTAAAATTTGACAAAAAATTTAAGAGCACGGCTACCAGTTATGGTTGAGAGTTGTGCATTTGACAGTTTTTGATTATAGCCAGGTCCGAACATCCATTTAGCTTAGCCGTGTAGTCAAACAGCCACTGCATTATTTTAAATCCCCATCGATAATAATTGCCTTTGTATAAACGTTTTTTCAAGTACAACTTAACATTTCTATGGCTAACCTGGTCAGGAAAGTTGTCAAATACTCCGTCTGTGGCGACCAGAATAACATCTCCATCTTCCACTGGGTAATTTCATGTGTCTACTTCCTCTGGCCTGTAACACATTGTGTTTTGAAATAGATTTCAACAATGTTTTATTGTGTTAGCCCAAGATAGGCTAAACAATTATAGAACTAAGATTCAGTTAACATCTATCTTTATTACTACTAACTTCCTAACAAGTGTTACATGAAATAAGACATCCTAATAATCTGGGCAGAATAAGACGTGTTCCTAGGCTCTTGGGTTTTCTGTCCTTATTTTATTGTCGCGTAGGAAATGGGGCATGTCGGCATGTCTTTATGAAAGTAGTTTTTATTTTATTATAATTTTTCTTGAAGTAAAATCAATTAAAATAATAATTACAATTTATCGAGGAGATTAACTGTTTCTAAATTTGGGTGTACAAACCATAAAAAATTAACAAACAAGATATTAAAATTAGGTAGACTCACCTGGTTACTCTGAGTTTGCGGGTTAGAATCCAGCCTGAGGCTCCTAGGGAGCTGGTGTCAGTGCACTGCACAGGCATGTGATATCGCCATCCTCGAGATAGGCTCCTAGCTGCCAGGAAACCCAAGAAAGGCTCCAGTTTGGCAAGCCTATGCCTTTATAATATGGAAGATCTAATATTATAATATGTCCTTGTGCACTGCCAGTAAACACCTGTTTTGCTTTATAAGAACGTCAAAACAAAGTCACTTTAAGCGATTTTAGTTTTTCCTGTCTCCTGAAAAATACAGTTTTTTACACACAACTTTTTTCACGAACGTCAACGAAACGACAAAAAGTTTCAGTGTAATATTCTTAATGAGCTATAAGTATACCCATTGTCTAGTTACTAGTTTCAGACCATATGACCATATCAAAATCAATATATTCACTCACCCAAGAAGTTATGGGCTGCTTATTCTCTAACAGCTCGTAGTTGCTGCGCGCTAGTAGACTAGCAGGTGCAGTGGTGCTGAAATACCCCGTGGACGCAAGGCATTTACATGTCCTCATCAGGAGACTAGAGACTTTCCAGGGTCGATGCTGTATCTCCTCCAACCAACAACACCGTCCGCCACACCTGAAACACAACACAAGTTGGTTAGTATCATCTTTCACTATTGATAGTACTAGACACAAATGTTAGGTAATGTTGTTGTTAGTTTTTAAAAATAAAAATGAAAGTTGTTGAATGGTACCAAGGGCAGTGTGTTTGTCAATAACTAATTTCCATGGTATAGATCAACCTTTTAACCAAGCCAATCTAAAAAGGCATCTTACTGAACACTGCAGGATCTTTTACATCACATAAATTATTAAAGAATCAACAACTAAAAGGTTGTTCCATTAGTGTACTCTCTGAAAGACTTATTCAACTATTTTCATACAATAAAAATAAAACTAGCAACTAACGTATGAGATGTATATTTATTTCATTTCAGTATTTAAAGTCAATTGTATCATATAAACAGTGATTTGATACATGTTGCAGTATGTTGGTATGATCAGTCTAACGTATTTTAAATTAAGTTAAATACACAAATACAAGAAGGGTAACAATAACAATGTAAATTTTGGCTATTGTCACTACAAAAAATACTATTAGGCTACCGATAAGAGGGTCAGCCATTTGTATAATCATCTGGACCGTGACAGATAAAATGAGAACCGTACAAAAATGAAGTTTTATAAACTTTCTAGGTAAATAGGGAACATTAGCTGGTTTTGTTTCCAGTACCTACTAGATACTAGGTATAAATTATCAGATCATTACAATAGGACATTTCTTCAAGCCCTCCTTATAAAAATAGGTACCCGCCATAATTTAAAAAGCACTGTTATCCTAGTTTTAGGTAGGCCTAAATAAGTTAAGGAATGACCAAAAATATTTAGAAATGATAATTTTACTAGCTTGAAAAATGAAATAGTCTTTTAACAGTCCTAAACACAAAACATTACACACAAAATTGTGTTGGAAAAACCAAATAAAAATTGTGAATTCGGGTCACCGAAATTTTATCCCCCTGGAATTTTACCCCCTGGGCAAAGCTGACGTCACTATGACGTAGTACTCAAAAATCCCCGCGGATTTGGAAGTCTAATGAAAATAGACAGAGCAAGATTAATTAGATTAACAATAAAAACCTGAATTTTACCCCCTAGCCGGATATAGAAATTATTATATTTAAACTAAAGCCACAACACAAATCTTATACTTTTATTAAGAAACAGCTTTGGTACGATAACAAATATTTGGCTCAAAGAAAACGGATTTTTAAGATGTTAAATCGTTACAGGAAATCAAACTGCCAAATAATCAAATTACAGTACTCTCATGAGCAAAAAGCTTTTAGATCCCTTTGTAGAGAAAAGAAACAATTGTACCAAAATAATTTAGTAATCAATTTAAGTCAAACATCAGATTCAAGGAGTTTTTGGCAAGCAGTCAGTGTAATTAAAAAAAAGGAAGGGAAGAAGATTGGGAAAATTGCATCGTCAGAGCGGGTTAAACATTTTCACACCCTACTCAACCCACCTTTACCAATAGAGAAGATAAGTTACAGTGACGGTTCTAGGACCTTGTCAAGGGGGGGCTACCGGGGGGCTTGGGGTGTGTGGAGCACCCACCAATAAAGCAAGGGGGTCCAGGGGTCCTCCCCCGGGAAAATTTGGAATTTTCTAAGCCGTTTGGTGACTTTCTAAAGCCATTTTTAACACCTGAAACCGTGCCCAATTGTCCATAAACTCCCATTTCACCTGTTGTTTGTCATGAGCAAATAGACATTTAAAAAATTAAACTATGACGATTGCATTCACGAATTTCAAAACACACTGTAGACTACGGCCATATCCTCCTAAAAGCCGTTGGGTGACTTTCTAAAGCCATTTTTAACGTCTAGAACTGTGTGCAAAACCTCAAATTTACCCATTTATTTGTCATGAATAATCAGACATTTTTTAAACTAACTATGACGATTGCATTCATAAATCTCAAAACATATTGTAGGCAACGGCCATATCCTCCTAAAAGCTGTTTACTGACTTTCTAAAGCCATTATTAATGTCTATATCTGTGTCCAACTGTTCAAAAACCTCCCATTTCACCTGTTATTTGTCTTTGTTATGAGTACCTAAGGAAACATTTAAAAAATCAAACTATGTTGAACTTGCATTCATGAATTTAAAAACATAGGCCTACTGTAGAATACGAAGCCATATCTCCTAAAAGTCGTTTGGTGACTTTACAAAGCCATTTCTAAGGCCCCCCATACACGTAACGATCGGCCGGCCGGCGAGGGCCGGAAGGCCAAACTGAACAGTTTGGCCTGTGAAAGGAGGGTCCCCATACACGCAACGATTCGCCTGCCGGCCGGACTGAAATTTCTCCGCCTAGTGGCAAGTATGCAGTCAGTTTTCGTACGGCAAAAACGTTTTTGTTAACTTGCTATAAGCTGGATCTTTTAAGTCCCTGTTGTGGTATGCCTTTGTTTTGACCCTCCGCCGACATTCATGCTTTCTGTATTCTTCTATAAAGGCTAGCACATGCTGATTAGTCCACGTAGCCATATTAGTACAAAGACTGAACAGAAAATAAAGTTAGGTTATGTCAATGACCTTAAAAATGAACGTAAATAAAAAAAATAATGCTACTACTGTACTGTCGGCCTTCCGGCGGCCTGCCGGCGACCCCATACACGTAACGATCGGCCTGAAGGCGGGGGTTGGCCGGACGACGACCCCATACACGTAACGATCGGCCGGCCGGCGAGAGCCGGAAGGCCAAACTGAACAGTTTGGCCTGTGAAAGGAGAGTCCCCATACACGCAACGATTCGCCTGCCGGCCGGACTGAAATTTGAAGTTATGTCAATGACCGTGCCTTACCTTAAAAATAACCGTAAATCAAAAATAATGCTACTACTGCACTGTCGGCCTGCCGGCGACCCCATACACGTAACGATCGGCCTGAAGGCGGGGGTTGGCCGGACGACGACTGATGGGAATCCCATCAGTCGTCGTCCGGCCAATTTGGTCGTCCGGCGGCCGGACGACGACCCCATACACGTAACGATTGGCCGGCCGGCGTGGACTGTTCAGGCCGGGCCGGCCGGCCGATCGTTACGTGTATGGGGGGCCTAACGTCTAGAACTGTGCCCAATTGTCATAAAACCTTCAATTTCACCTGTTATATGTCATGCAAGCAAGTAGACACGTTTTTTAACCTTACGTTTTTCTCCATTTCATAGATCTGTCACAATATGTATAGTATCGAATTCAGTAATAGTATTGACTATATAAACTTAACACTAGTGTTTATATAGTCAATGGTAATAGGCTACTGGTGCTACCGCTGATTGCTGATTGATGCCTGTGTAAAGTTAGCGGCTAGCAGACAATTTGAAAACTAACTATGGAACATCAGGAAATCAGCTGTTTCACCGTCCTTGCTCGGCGCTCGCCTTTGCCCTAGCATGTCAACAGCTGACTGCTGTAAAAATTGGATGATGCGTACAACCTTCCATAGCGTAATATTGTTTTATTCTTTGTGCTATTGTCCACAAAGTTTATCTATGTGCAACTTAATACTACTCCTGCCATCGCTTATTAAGTTGAATAAAAACTACATTGATGTCTGTTTTATGACATTGCGTGTTTTAAGGACGAAACGTAAGTTAAAATTTATTTTTCCAGAGTCCAAGGGGGGGGGGGCTTTAGCCCCTGTAGCCCCCCCCTTGGAACCGCCACTGATAAGTTACGCAGAACCTTTTATCGTAGATGCATACCTTGATAGTGATTTCACTCTCGCTGAGTTAACAACTGTCTTGTCCAATGCTAAACAAAACAAAGCACCGGGTCGCGATAGAATTCCGTATGAATTTTACAAAAATGCGCCTTTGGTTTTACTAATTAAACTACTTAAAATCTACAACAATTGTTATAAAACGGGAATAATACCAGAATCCTTTAAAAGTTCAATTGTGTTTCCATTGCATAAGAAGGGGGATATTAACTGCGTAGCAAATTACCGAGGTGTATCTTTTATTGATTGTATAGCAAAACTTTTTATTGGTTTAGTAAACAATAGACTTACTAATTGGGTCCATGAAAAAAAAATATATTAACAGAGTTTCAGGCTGGGTTTAGGAGGGGGTATTCAACAATAGATAATATTTTTAACCTAACCTGTATGGGACACTTAAGATTAGAGGAAAACAAGGGGAAACTATTTTGTTTTTTATTGATTTTTCATCAGCTTTTGATACAATAGACAGAGATGCCCTTATGTTCAAATTATCGTGTTTAGGCTTATTAACAAAATTACTAACTATATTGAAGAACTATTACTCGGGAACCACGGCGTCAATATGGGTTCCTGGAGGAATAACCAACAGCTTTAATACCTCCATGGGTTTAAGACAGGGATATCTAATCAGCCCTATTAATTACACATATTATTCATTAATGATCTGCCAGAAGTGTTAGAAGGTGGGTGCAACTTTGGTGGTCAGAGGGTCAATATGCTGATGTATGCAGACGATATAGTGATTATATCTCCGACAGCTACAGGTCTGCAGCACATGATAAATAGGCTAGAAAACTACTGTGAAATATGGAACCTCAACCTCAATTTAAATAAATCAAAAGTCATGGTATTTAGGAAAGGAGGGAGGCTTGGAACAACTTGTCAACGGTGGTACAAAGGCAAAACAATAGAGGTAGTAAACAGTTATAAATATCTAGGGGTCGATTTTACTCCATCTTTGTCGTGGAACTTATATTTCCATCAAAAGAATATTATGACAAAACTAGCAATTAATTCAATATGGGCTAGTTTCAAAAGGGGCAGTAAGATTCCGCTAAGCTCTAACCTAGTTTGTTATAACCCAGTTTTAAGATTGATTTTATGTTATGGGGTACAAGTGTGGGGCTTTTTGGAATAAAAAAAAATAGAGAAGGCACAAAACTTTTTTCTTAAAAAATTATTTCGTCTACCTAGAAACACTCCCAATTATGTGTTATATTTAGAAACAGGTTTCGATAAATTGCATATTTATACATTAGCGCTACATATCAAGGCAAT